GCAATCAGACATCCGGTTCCATCAGTTATCTGGCACTAATTTCAACTAGCATAATTTAAAATTTCCAGGGTCGCCACACCAACCTGCTGGTACCAATTTCTTTTTCTCCATTTACTGTTACAACCTGCTTACTTTTAGCCCTAGCCATGAATGAAAGAAATGCTTCTCATTTTGTACAGCACATACACGGTACAATGGACCCCCGCATACCGTTGGCATCACATAACGTTAAATCCGCATACCGATACATTTTATCGCTAAGATTTTGCCTCGCATACCGCTAAAAAACCCGCTCAACACTATTCGTCCGAGACGCGTCTAATTGTGCGGCCTGAGCCAGCCTCACATGTTCCTCCGGTGGCATTGTTTACCAGCCAGCCTCCGCGGTAACATCCAAGCATACAATCGGAACATTTTATATTATTAGTGTTTTTGGTGATTTTATCTGCAAAATAAGTGACCATGGGCCCCAAGAAAGCTTCTAGTGCCAACCCTACAGGAATAAGGGTGAGAATTACTATAGAGATGAAGAAAGAGATCATGGCTAAGTATGAAAGTGGAGTGCGTGTCTCCGAGCTGGCCAGGTTGTATAATAAACCCCAATCAACCATCGCTACTATTGTGTCCAAGAAACGGCAATCAAGGAAGCTGTTCTTGCCAAAGGTTCAACTGTGTTTTCGAACAGAGATCGCAGTGATGGAAGATGTTGAGAGACTCTTATTGGTGTGGATAAATTAAAAACAGATAGCAGGAGATAGCATCTCTCAAGTGATCATAAGTGAATAAGGCTAGGAAGTTGCATGAGGATTTAATTAAAAAAAATGCCTGCAACTAGTGATGATGTGAGTGAATTTAAGGCCAGCAAAGGTTGGTTTGAGAGATTTAAGAAGCGTAGTGGCATACATAGTGTGATAAGGCATGGTGAGGCTGTCAGTTCGGACCACAAAGCAGCTGAAAAATAAGTGCAGGAATTCAAGGAGTACATAGACAGTGAAGGATTGAAAACCTGAACAAGTGTTTAATTGTGATGAAACAGGCCTGTTTTGGAAGAAAATGCCAAGCAGGACCTACATTATCAGGAGGAAAAGGCACTCCCAGGACATAAGCCTATGAAAGACAGGCTTACTCTGTTGTATGTGTTCCAATGCTAGTGGTGATTGCAAAGTGAAGCCTTTATTAGTGTATCACTCAGAAACTCCCAGAGCGTTCAGGCAAAAGAATATCCTCAAGGCTAATTTGTGTGTGCTGTGGAGGGCAAACAATAAGGCATGGGTCACTAGGGACTTTTTCTATGGATGGTTACACCAAGCATTTGCCCCACTGTGGAAAAATTACCTAACTGAAAGAAATTAGAAATTAAGTGCTCCTGGTGTTAAACATGCCCTGGTCATCCTACAGATGTGGCCAGAGCGACTTTATGGGGACATGAGCTTCATTAAGATGAAGTTTTTGCCTCCTAATACCACTCCTCTCCTGCAGCCATGGACCAGCAGGTTATTGCAAACTTCAAAAAACTGTACACAAAAGCTCTTGTTTGAAAGGTGCTTTGTAGTGACCTCAGAAAACTCAATTGGACTCTAAGGAGAGTTTTGGAGAGAGCACTTTAATATCCTCAATTGTGTAACCTTATAGGTAAGGCTTTGGAGGGAGTGACTAAGAGGACCTGAACTCTGCTTGGAAGAAACTGTGGCCAGAATGTGTAGACCAAAGGGATTTTGAAGGGTTTGAGGTTAACCCTGGGAATCCTATGCCAGTTGAGGAATCCATTGTGGCATCGGGAAAGTCCTTGGTGTTGGAGGTTAGTAGGGATGATGTGGAAGAGTTGGTGAGAGGAGGACAATGAAGAACTAACCACTGATGAGCTGCTAGATCATCTTCATCAGCATGAGGCCAGACCTGAGGAAACTGCTTCGGAGGAGGGGGAGAGAGAAATTGAAGAAGTTGCCTACTTCAAAGATTAAGGAAAGTGTGGAATGTGGCTTAAAGTGCAAACCTTTTTTGATGGACAATCGCCCTAACACAGCTATTGCAAGCCGTGCTGGTGACTATTACACTGACAATGTTTGTAACCACTTTAGGAAGTCATAGAGGAACGGGAGGTACAGGCCTTATGGACAGTTATGTTGTGCGACAGAAGTCCAGTGACTCTGAAGCTGGTCCTAGTGGCATTAAAAGAAGAAGGGAAGTAACCCCGGAAAAGGACTTGACACCTCAAGTCTTAATGGAAGGGGTTCCCCTTCTAAACACTAAGACTCTCTCCTCCTCCCATCCCATCAATCATCACCGATCTTCAATAAAGGTAAGTGTCATGTAACTGTGCATGTCTTTTTCAGTTTGTGTGTATTAAAATTAATATTTCATGTGGTAGAAATTTTTTTTTTTCATACTTTGGAGGTGTCTTACACGGATTAATTTGATTTCCATTATTTCTTATGGGGAAAATTCATTCGCATAACGATAATTTCGCATAACAATGAGCTCTCAGGAACGGATTAATATCGTTATGCGGGGGTCCACTGTACATTGTCCATAAAAGATAAGGTGGCTTTGAAGCCACTGTCGGTTGCCATGAGCTCAATCTCGCGATGCATGGGAATATGCTTTATTATTACACTAATATCAACACTACGGCTTCTTTACCTATCACAACTGATCTAATATATAATAAACAATATAAATAACATAAAAACATGTTAAATATTCCAGAATGAAACATATTTGGCATAATACTGAGTGGTTTGACGGAGGTATGAAGAGGATATGGGATACAAGTACCATTCTCTTATCCGTCTTGGGGCTTATATTAGAAAAAACAGAGTATAGCATAGGACTGTGATACACACTCATAATGCACCATAAAACTGAAACAAAAAAGCTATTTTCTCTACATAGATTATCATACATAGCAGCATATGTGTAGAGAATCTAGGATAACCCAAGAAAAGTCAGACAAAGTGACTTATTTCTAGTACCTGGCTTGGGCTTGCCATATATGATTTTTGGTAATTTTTTTTTTCTCAGTTGTTTGTTGGGCTATCTTATTGAAACTTGGGCAATGTATGATGGAAAGATGCTTCTTAACATACACCAAAAATGAAAAAATCGGACCATAAATAACGGAGTTCACTTCTCAGCCATTAGCCACCCTTAGCGGTATAGTATTTTCGTATGGTTTTTATGATTGTATTCAGTTTTTTGGTCTCGTTTGACAGAATGGAAGATATATAACAGAAACAGATATGATTTTTATTGCTTTCACGATGAAAAGTACCTTGAAACTGAGCTCAAATCAGTGGAAATGTTCAATTCTTTGGTAATGTTCAAGAGTAAACAAATGATGTCACTATCCAATACGTGTCCAACTGGCCAGTCCAAATTCCAATACGCAGTCAGGAATGTGTTGACATTATTTATAAAATTATTACAATAATGCAGTAGTCTGCATAACAGTAAATCTTCTATTTATTGCGTGAATAAAAATTCCAAATGGTAAGCAAGAGTAATATAAGAAGGGTCTGTTGACGTGACTAACGAACAGAGAAAATGTTATTTTAGTGCCAGAAATGTCTGTATTGTTTATTTTGGACCCTATTTTGAAATTGGCATCTTTTGAAATTTGTGTGAAATTGGCTAAATTGCCAATTTCTGACCACTTTATTGTGCAGTTGAAATAGGTGAATGGGCAGTTTCTTGTACTCAGTTGACTGAACAGAAGTAAGTTTATTCAGGTATACACAAATACAGTTACAAAGATTTATCATACATAGCAGTATATGTATAGAGAACCGAGGATAACTCAAAAAAGTCAGACAAAGTGACTTATTTCCAGTACCTAGCTTGGGTTTGCCATATATGATTTTTGGTAAATATTTTGTTCTCAGTTGTTTGTTGGGCTATCTTATTGAAACTTGGGCAATGTATGATGGAAAGATGCTTCTTAACGTACACCAAAAATGAAAAAAATCAGACCATAAATAATGGAATTCACTTCTCAGCCATTAGCTGCCCCTTAGCAGTATATTTTCATATGGTTTTTATGCTTGTATTCTCGTTTTTGGTCTTATTTGATGGAATGGAAGATATATTACAGAAACACACATGATTTTGATTGCTTTCACGACAAAAAGTACCTTGAAATTGAGCTCAAAGTAGCGGAAATGTTCAATTGTTGCCGATGTTCAATGAACTTTCTTGTGCAAGTCAATTTGGTTAATTTTATTAAGTGTATTCCAACCTAACCACTCTGTAATCCAGCACACTACAGGTCTCAATGATGCCGGATTTGTGATGACAGACCTGTACCTACCACACCTGACCTCTTACAATAAATACTACTCACCTTTCACCCTACATTAAGACTACAAATATTTTAAGGCAAGTTATGAGTGCACTGTGTGTGTATTTTGCTTTTTATTGTTTTTTAATGCCTAGTTCTATTGCTAACTAATACATATTGATGTAAACTCGTTATCTGGCATTTATAAGTGAAAAAAATGGTGTTCTGCTTTCCGACGATGCTCTCTTTCTGGCAGTAGCCTGGAATCTAACCTGCCGTATAAGTGAGGCCCTACTGTAAATGGGTTGATTATATTAATTTGGTAGCCTCCTACTGAATTTTTGGCACCCTACATAATGTAATAATAAAATTTAGGATGTACAGTATTAACAAATTTAGCTTTTTAATTAAGATTCAAGTGAAAATTGAAAAAAACCAGACAAAATACGTATTAAGTGAAAAGTACAATCCAATATACGTATACATACACTACTTAAAAAAGTACTGTTTTAAGTGTGCAAAGAAATTACTAATTTAGAAACACCCATATTCAGGTTCATTTGTAAATTAAAAATGGTACAATGAAACTCAGTTAAATTCATGCTTAATAAACAAACATGTCTACACTGACAAGATGTCATATGTAGACTTTCAAGCTCTTACTTCATGAAATAGCAACTCATTACGCTGCATTCATGCTTCACAGGAGTAACAAAAAAATTACCTTAAATGCATGTTTGCTATCTTTTCTTTTCTGAACAGAATCACTTTTTAGGGTGTTAACAAATGCAGGCCATGGTGTTCCATGCTTGTATTTCATTTTACTTGAAAATAACTCATTGCCGCATTTACGGCAAACATAAATGCCTGGAATAAGAGTTGCAATAAGAAATAATTACAAAGAAATCATCAAGATATGAAATAAATTACTTTTACTCAAAATGAAAATCTTGCATAGAAACATTATAACAAATTGATCCCTGTAGTAGTCCTACAGGCCTATCATTGGCAGGTCCTAACTATACCAGCATATGCAGGTCGTATATCCTTGCTAAACCTGATTCTTTTTTTTTTATTAACTTCATTTTATTTTCACAAGCTTTTACTGACATGATGTATTTGACAGAATATTTTTTTAATGCAGTGGCAGCCTCTCATTAAGGCAGGGTGACCTGAAAAAGAAACACTTTCACCATCATTCACACTATCACTGTCTTACCAGAAGCATGCAGATACAATAGATTTGATGTCACTCTAAACAGCAAATATTCCAAAACCCTTCTTTAGAGTGCAGGCACTGTACTTCCTATCTCCAGAAGTCAAGTCTAGCTAACCAGAATAGTATTTACATCCCCTCAATTTAAATTTGCATCCATTTGTACACCAAGATCATTTCACCCTTCACCTATGGATCAACTTATTTTTTGCATATTTTCCAGTTCATTGTTATCCATTTTGTAATACAGATACTATGTCCTTCATAATCTAAAATTAACTGCTCACCAACTGTGTGTTAAGTTGTAGTACAATCTTGGAAATTCTATTACACATCTACTGTTTACCTGGAGTTTGCCTGCAGAGAGTTCCAGGGGTCAACGCCCCCCCGGCCCGGTCTGTGACCAGGCCTCCTGGTGGATCAGAGCCTGATCAACCAGGCTGTTACTGCTGGCTGCACACAATCCAATGTACGAGCCACAGCTCAGCTGGTCAGGTACCGACTTTAGGTGCTTGTCCAGTGCCAGCTTGAAGACTGCCAGGGGTCTATTGGTAATCCCCCTTATGTATGCTGGGAGGCAGTTGAACAGTCTCGGGCCCCTGACACTTATTGTATTGTCTCTTAACGTGCTAGTGACACCCCTGCTTTTCATTGGGGGGATGTTGCATCGTCTGCCAAGTCTTTTGCTTTCGTTGTGAGTGATTTTCGTGTGCAAATTCGGTACTAGTCCCTCTAGGATTTTCCAGGTGTAAATAATCATGTATCTCTCCCGCATGCGTTCCAGGGAATACAGGTTCAGGAACTTCAAGCGCTCCCAGTAATTGAGGTGTTTTATCTCTGTTATGTGTGCTGTGAAGATTCTCTGTACATTTTCTAGGTCAGCAATTTCACCTGCCTTGAAAGGTGCTGTTAGTGTGCAGCAATATTCCAGCCTAGATAGAACAAGCGACCTGAAGTGTCATCATGGGCTTGGCCTCCCTAGTTTTGAAGGTTCTCATTATCCATCCTGTCATTTTTCTAGCAGCTGCAATTGATATAATGTTATGGTCCTTGAAGGCGAGATCCTCCAACATGATCACTCCCAGGTCTTTGACGTTTGTTTTTTGCTCTATTTTGTGGCCGGAATTTGTTTTGTACTCTGATGAAGTTTTGATTTCCTCATGTCTACCATATCTGAGTAATTGAAATTTCTCATCATCGAACTTCATATCGTTTTCTGCAGCCCACTGAAAGATTTGGTTGATGTCTGCCTGGAGCCTTGCAGTGTCTGCAATGGAAGACACTGTCATGCAGATTCGGGTGTCATCTGCAAAGGAAGACACGGTGCTGCGGCTGACATCCTTGTCTATGTCAGATATGAGGATGACAAACAAAATGGGAGCGAGTACTGTGCCTTGTGGAACAGAGCTTTTCACCGTAGCCGCCTCAGACTTTACTCTGTTAACTACTACTCTTTGTGTTCTGTTTGTGAGGAAATTATAGATCCATCTACCAACTTTTCCTGTTATTCCTTTAGCACACATTTTGTGCACTATTACGCCATGGTCACACTTGTCGAAGGCTTTTGCAAAGTCTGTATATATTACATCTGCATTCTTTTTGTCTTCTAGTGCTTCTAGGACCTTGTTGTAGTGATCTAATAGTTGAGACAGACAGGAGCGATCTGCTCTAAACCCATGTTGCCCTGGGTTGTGTAACTGATGGGTTTCTAGATGGGTGGCGATCTTGCTTCTTAGGACCCTTTCAAAGATTTTTATGATATGGGATAGTGCTTTCGGTCTGTAGTTCTTTGCTATTGCTTTACTGCCCCCTTTGTGGAGTGGGGCTATGTCTGTTGTTTTTAGTAACTGTGGGACGACCCCCGTGTCCATGCTCCCTCTCCATAGGATGGTAAAAGCTCGTGATAGGGGCTTCTTGCAGTTCTTGATGAACACGGAGTTCCATGAGTCTGGCCCTGGGGCAGAGTGCATGGGCATGTCATTTATCGCCTGTTCGAAGTCATTTGGCGTCAGGATAACATCAGATAGGCTTGTGTTAACCAAATTCTGTGGCTCATAAAAAATTCATTTTGATCTTTGACTCTCAGTCTGGTTAGCGGCTTGCTAAAAACTGAGTCATATTGGGACTTGAGTAGCTCACTCATTTCCTTGCTGTCATCTGTGTAGGACCCATCTTGTTTAAGTAGGGGCCCAATACTGGATGTTGTTCTCAACTTTGATTTGGCATAGGAAAAGAAATACTTTGGGTTTCTTTCTATTTCATTTATGGCTTTTAGTTCTTCCTACAATTCCTGACTCCTATAGTCAAACAATCTAGCAGTGTGAGACTAAGTATTTATGATTACTGAACCCATCTGCTGCTACAGGAGCAGAGCTCTGCCCAATGTCAATTATAATAATAATAAATAATAATAATAATTATTATTATTATTATTATTATTATTATGAGGATGCTAAGAAATGTTAATCTATTTTTTGTAATGTATCCTCTTATAATCATATACAAATACAGTGGTACCCTGACTGAGTTTAATTCGTTCAGTGACCAAGCTCGTAACTCAATTTGCTCGTATATCAAATCAATTTTCCTCATTGAAATTAACTGAAATGCCATTAATCCAGTCCAGCCCCCAAAAAACACCAATATTTTTCTTACAGGTTTTTAACCCTTAAACTGTCCAAATGTAGATCTACGTTCACGTGCGTAGCGCTCCAATCTTGATTTTCCCCATTTGAAAGCATGCAAAAAAAACGTAGATCTATGTTCGGAGCCCCCCACACGTGGACGTAGATCTACATTTGGACAGTTTAAGGCTTAAATCGGAAAATGTATTTATAAGAAATATTGTATAAAAACATAATAAAAGAGAATGTAAAGAAATAAACTAGTTTTATAAAGTGTATTTACCTTGGAGATCAGACAACTTGGGCTAATGGAAGATACTGGCAGAGGTGGAGGGTGGAAAAGACGGCAGAGGATTCCAACATTTCTGGATTATACCCTTTATCGATTCCTCCTGCTTTAGTATGGTACGTGTCGTATAATTTACTTGCTCTAATGCCTTGCCAAGTCGGTACAAGAAACATCTCGCTCTTTTTTTTCTATGTTTTCATGCTTTAATTCAATGGACATCATCCTCCTCCTCTTCTTCTCAGCACTGCCCTTTGCACTTACTTTCTTAGGACCCATGGTTAGAAAAAAGAAATTTGGCAAAATAACAGCAAAAAGCAAGCACAACACAAAAGAGATGCTTCCACAGCGGGGTAACCATGTGCACTGAACGAGTGAGACATGGGATTGCTGGGCGGATGTTGTGGCGCTGGCTGCGCCAACTAGTGGCGGCGTATCTGAAGCTTGCTCGTAGCTTGGATTTTGGCTCGCAACTCAAAGCAAAAATCGACTGAGCAACGGTTCGTAACTCTGAAAAACTCATAAGTTGGGGAAACACGTAAGTCAAGGACCACGTATACAAGTTTTTAGTTCTTTATGCAATACTAATAATGTAGTTTACAAGAAAGAAAACATTCATAGGCATACAAGGGGAAACCACAAATATAAGCATTTTGGGCAAACTAATTGTAATGCTTCAGAGTTACTAATAAGAAGTTCTTATGCAGTTACTAAAAAATGTATGTATAATTAGAAAGACAGATAGTGAACAAATACAGTGGAACTTCAAGTTTCGGCTTAATCCGTTCCAAAAGCTCGGCCAAAACTCAAATTGTTTGAAAGTCAAAGCAATATTCCCCACAAGAAATAATGAAAAACCCAAATTAACCCTTTCCAGACACCCAAAAAATTAAAAACAAAAATAAAAATATAAATTTTTCAAGAATAAATACAGAAAACAATAAGAAATAAATATAAATACATATAAACATTACATACCTTTGGCTTATGGAACACAGGGAGGAGGAGTTTGTTTGGAGACATGACAAGATACTCCTTCAATATGACACTAATATCAATTTGACAACTTATTTATCTATCAAAAATTGATCTAATACGACAATAAATAATATTAATAACATTGAAACATGATATATACTCTAGAATTTAATAAAATATGTCATTATGTATGTCACAGTGGTGGTGGTAGTGGTGGGTTTTTGTTGGGTTATCAGGGCCACTGGCAGCATAAGCCGTATATTGGTGGTGGCGGCGGTTTTTGTCAATGGCCCTATATTTCCTCCCAAAAACATTTTAGTTAGTTTTGTGTCCTTTTTCTATCGCTTAACTTATTTGCTACACTATTACTGCTACACTTTATAAATGGGTAGCACTATAGCTTTTATCGACTCCCGTGCTTTTGTATCGTACATATCGTAGAAACCCCTGACTCACTGAAGGCGGCACATTCTTTCCCCCTCCCCTTCCTCCTCCACTTTCGTACGTTGCAACAATTTCTTTCTTCAATTCTATCGTGTTTCTCACTTTCTTTACCAAAGGGCTGGTACTAGGAAGTTTCTTTAGGCCCATGGTTAATTATGTAGCAGTTGCACTCAATCAACAGGCACAAAAAAATGGATTATTGTGAAATGTTTGATGACGGCTCAGGGTAAAGTTCACTCGAGGAGAAACAAAGCCAGACGACTCGCAACACATGCGTGGGAGCTTTGTGTGGGTGCAGGCAGGTGGACAGGTCTGGTAC